AGCTACGCCCAAATCAGGGCGCGCGGAATCGAACCGGTACAAATGCCTTGCTCCTCTCCAGTTTACGGCACCCTTAGGGGGTTTACGGTTTTCCTGTCTTGCACCTCCGACGAGTCCCAGCAGCCCCACGCCACCCCCAGACCCTGCCCCGCCCCAAGCGCCAGCCAGGGCCGCACGCTGCCACTCTGGAAATGAGGGGGGCGACGTGGCGGAGATTCTCTCTTCAGGGGCGAAAAGAAAACAGAACCCCTTCAGCCGGCGAGGCGAGGCTGGGCCGGGCGAGAGGGCGGTACGCGCTGCTACCCAACGGCCACGAGCAGAGCGACCGTCCTCGCTGTTGGGGACCGTCACGTAACGTAGCGCCCCCCGCAGAGGGCCGTGCGAAGTTTTATTTTATCTGACTGCAAACATTTATATGACTGCACACATTTTCGACCCTTTTCAACGTAATCATAGAAAGGACTACTGACTAGCAGGCTTTGTCTATTATTTGATGCAATATGTCGTGAGGTTTGCTGAGTGCAGAGGCACCTGTAGTGGTTCGCGAGACGAACGGCACCTTAACTGTTCACTTCCTTTCACCTTCTTAAACGCTTTGCAATTTGCGGATGCGGGGGCATTGTTAACTGCAAACAAAGCATTTCTCTACGACAGGAAAGTAAAATTATCCACAGTCTTCTAAAGATGATTGTTTTCCTTTTCTCGTGGTGTGTTGCGTTTTGCAGCTATTTTACGGGGAATAGTCAGGACGGGAGACGACGAGACGGGTGAGACCCCCCCCCCCCTTTCCCCGTACCCGACAACTTGTTTAAAAACTCTCCTGACCGGTCAAGACTTTCCCAGCGGCCAGCTATATTCTTTTGCCCGCCCTTGTCAGATATCCGCGCGCGCCAGATCTCTCTGTGCGCGTCCGGCGGATCCGTGACCCAGTTGTGCGAAGCTTCCGTCTGTCTCACCGGAGAAGTAGCGCTCGCCCTTCTCGTGGAAGTGGTGGTGGCGCATGGCCACGTCCTGGCCGCCGGCGCGGTGCAGCTGTGGGATCAGGTCCAGCCAGATGGCGATGCGGTGGCCCCGGTAGTGGCTCTTGAGCCGCGGCTTCTGGGCTGGAACAGAGGACAAAAACAATCAGATGAGGCGACATCCTCGGGATAAAACAAAGGTGGTAGGGTGCACCTTTTGCAGCAGTGCCAATGAAATTTTTGATACATAGGTCCCGTTTAAAGATGTGACTTAACACCTTTGTCTTTCCAGTGAACCCATCCGTATAGATGTGATGAAAGCAGTGGCGTCTTTGTCACGGTGTGCCCCGCAGCCGGGCTGCTGCAGCCTGACGACCTGACGTCTTCATGCCTCCCCACGCCCCTCTATCTCGGAGCTCACACGCCTTCGGCAATCTCCTCCCCCTTCTCCCCAGCAGCCCTTCCATGTGCAACGTGGAAAGGATCGGCACTCCATCTGGCCCCCACAATGTGCATCCGATGACCCTCTCCCCCCAACTTCCCCCCTTACCGCCACCCCTTACTTCCCAAATCCATCCATCCATCCATCCATCCATCCATCCATCCATCCATCCATCCATCCATCCATCCAGGCGGCTGACCGCCCCCACTCCAGTCGCGGCGGACGACGACTGGCTTCTAGATGGCGGTCACGTCGCCGTCCTTTTTTAGTAGACGTTCATCTCTCGGGTGACTCTGGGTCTGTTTTCATTCCCCGCCCGTAGCGCGCGGCGCGCAGGTCCCTCCCCGCCGCCCCCTCCCCCACCCTCCAGGCGGCACGCAACCACGTCCTCGCCAAATTACACTTGTGAGTCGTACGAGCGCCCCGCCTCGCCTCGCCCCGCCCCGCCCCGCGCGAAGCGAGGCTACGTTGTTTATTCTCGCCGCGGAACATCGCGACTAATGAGGACGGATCGAAGGAAAGGGCCGCCAGGCTGGGCACACTCGGCGATGTCGTGGACGCTAATGTCCAGGACCGACTTCTAGGAGGAGAAAGTGAGAGAGGGGGAGAGGAAGAGAGTTGGAGTAGGGAATGGATCTCCCCCTCCCCCCCTCCCTCCCCTCGCCCAGTTCCATCTCCGTAAAATCATCCGCCCTGCTCCAAACATCGGCCAAGCTCGCGAAGGACCGTGGCGCTCTTTTATTTGTACGTATTTCAGCGCGGACGACGCCTGGCCGTTGACGCCCCGGTGACAATCCTTCATTTCCACGGTCTGATATATAAAGTATTGAACCCGGCGGCCCGTCGCGCTGCCCGGTGATGGGGATGGAGTTGGATGAGGGATGTGGAAGCGGCCGAGGAGACTACAGGCCCATTCACCTCGTGACAGCGCGAAGCAAAGTGAAATCATGAAAAGAACGGCCTCCATTTCCTACTCGACTGATCCGCCTGGCCGGCCGTTGCTGCCCCCCCCCCCCCATCGCAACTTGGTTTTCCTTTCTTTTTTTGGTTTTCTTTGTTCCTCTCTTTATACCTTTAGCCGGAGCCTTGCATTCGAACTTCCTCGCCCCTCTCCTTTTCTCTCGCTCCTTTCTATCCTTTCTCTCCCCCCTCGCTTTTCACGGCGACAGGAAAACTTGGGAGGCACTCCGACAGTTTGGGCCACCGCGATGGCATTCTTTCTTATCTTGCATTTATTAAGTATATCGATGTTAACACGAAGCCCCGCACTCATCTAACTTTTAATTGGAGGACGAGAAGAAAAAGGGGGGGGGGGTGATGCTGGATGAAGGGAAACGCTACGGCAGCAGGCCCGGCCGACGAGAGAGAAAGACCAAAAGTCGACGCAGTGTACGGTTTGCGGCTTTAGAAAAGGATGCCTATGCACGCTCTTCAAACACATTTTCTAGAAATCGAAAGTGTGTGACATCCGCACACGTAAAATGAAATGCCAATATGGGTCACACAAAAATTTGTTTGACACCAAGTTACTCTCTTGTTTAGACATACACTTTCCCCCCGGTAGTCACGCACTATTCTGTGAATGACATGGATGTCGCACACTTTTCTTTTACATGACGCAATAGTCACGATTTTGTGTGATTTTCTGGCGCGCAATTTTGAGTGTTGGGTATTGTTAAACTTCTCTTGGTGCACTCTTGCTGTCAAATCATCTGAAACCTTCGAGTGGGAATGACCTTCACCAAATGCAAGATGCATCTGAAGACATTCATAGCTAACGACAATAGTTCTTCGCAGTCTCTTAAGTCTCTTAAAAGTATGTACAAAGGCATTACTCAAAATTTCCTTGGTGCTCCTGGAAAGGTGTGACTTTGCAATTTTTTTTCCAGTGCAGATTATTTTATCGAATTTATGCAATCAAGAGGACCATTTGCGACCAATCACTAGAGACATGCTAAAATTTGCCGAAATTATTGGGGTGCATATAAACCACTTACTGATGCTGAGGTACAGCTGCGTGCTCATCTCGTACTTCTCCCACTGGATGTCCTTGAACCTGCTGCGAGTCTCTCTGTCCTCCTCCCACTTGTGGCTCTGCTGCTCCGCGCGCGGGTCATTAGGGTTCCTGCAACAAATGGGAAAATCGATTAACAACTTCTCGCAACCCGTAACAGGCAGAATGTAAAGCTAAACAAACATATAGAATAAGATGCATCAAACTGAGAAAAAAAATATCTGCCTGAGCAGTATACGCGCGCGTTTAGTGCCCAGAAGCTTTTTCGTTCCACTATACGTCTAGCGCTGGGAGGTAACGTGTAGCATCCCAGGCAAAGAAAATTTAGAGTACAGCACTGAAACTCAATGGAGGGGCACTATCCCATTTTGAGCTGGGACAAAAGTCGGCAGCATTACACGGTAAAAAAAGTTCATTGTATTTCAAGACCCGGTCTTGGATCTTATGGACATAGCCAAGGGTATCCAAGACCACGTCTTGAAATACAAGAAACTAATTTTACCGTGTAGACGAACGTTTAGTGCCCGGAAAGAAATATTTTGCTCAGAGCAGATATGAGGACAGACGGTTAAGTTAGCGCAGACGTGCCAAACAGCAGTGTGAAATTCCCGGAAGTAAGAGTATGCAAAGGATTCCTTTGGAGGAATTTAAAATCGTCAGTTAAACGCATATACTTTACATAAAAAATAAGGATACAATTTTTTTTCGATAGAGTAGAAGCCACAACAAAAGCGTTCGCGCCCGCTCGCGCCGCTGGCCGGGCTCCTCTTAGGCCCCAAAGCCAGCCCGCCGCCTGCGGTGGAGAGCTCGCCCTCACTAGGCCGGCCCGGGCCCCAGGTGCTAGTGGTGTCCAATGGTCGGTCGCTCGGCGCCGATGGGTGCCCATCGGGCGAGCGAGAGGGACGGAGCTAGCGGCCGGCTAGCGCGTGAGAGAGAGACGGCAGACAGGTGGAGTGGGGGGTTGACCGACCATTGGACATCACTACCAGGTGCCGCCAGCGGCAGCCAGCGGCAGCCAGGGCACACTTGGCTCGTGACACCTTCTTTTGTCTGCGGCTCGCTCGAGGCGGCTGGAAGCAGCACGGGGAGGGTGGCTGGAGAGGGAGAGAGGGAGAGAGGGAGAGGGAGAGGGAGAGGGAGAGGGAGCTCTCCAACCGGATCAGATAATACAGCCAGGCCCCGCACCGCACAGCCTTCACAGGGAGTGCGTTACAAGTGGCGGTGCGGTGATGTTGCAACCCGCACGCTCAACCCCCTCCTCACCCTCCCCACGCGGTTCAACTCCTCCCCTCCTCCTCCTGCATGCCGGGCGCGAAATATAAGGAAAAGCCGAACCGCAACGAACAAGACTTGCCCATTACGGCGCGCCTGACGCGGCGGGCGAGACTCCTCTCGCCTTCCTGGGTGCGTGGCACGGCGTGGCGTGGCGGGGTGGAGCGAGGTGGGGCGCAGCGTGTGCCGTGGCCAAACTTGCGGCACCCCAAAGAAAGCTGCTGCTGCTGCTGTGGTGCGGGAAAGCGGTGGAGAGGAAAATCTCCGCGGGCGGGTGGTGGTAGAGCGAGGTCGGGCGGGGCAGTATTTTCACACCACGCGCCCCCCCCAAAACCCCTCACCACGCCTGCAGCGGCAGAGCTCAGCAGCAGGACATTTGGGCGCGCGGAAATAAACAAGCGTTCTGCTCTCCCGAGATGAGCCGCCGCAGCCCGATGCGGATCCTGACGACCCTCTCCATTTGCAGCGCCATCACGGCGACCGACCACTTTATTTTTTTTTTTTATGCTGAGGCGTGTGTCTCGTTTTGTTATTGTTGGTGGTGGTCTGCAGTTCACTGACAACTCTCTGGTCTCTTTTCATCATGCTAAAAATTCGGGACACATATTCAAATAAAAAAAAATGTTATCAAGATAATATCTTTGCGAAGGGAGCGAGGAGAAACCAAGGCTGAACCAGGTGGCAGGCGGGGCAGATAAAGCAGTAGCCGCCATGGCTCTGCAGAGAGGCAGAGTTGGAGTCGGAAATATTTTTTATTTTAAAATAGCACTCCGTGGGCCGCTCACGCGAATTCTGCCCACGCGCTCACGATTACGATGAAATAGAACAAAAAAATAAATGAAGATGAAAATCATCCCCACGAATGCGGATGAACCTGTGCGCGGTCAGGGTCGGCTTTACTCTCTCCCCCCTTACCCCTCCATCTCTGTCCGTCTCTCGTTCTTTGTCTCTCCCCGTGGTTCCTATTCATCTTTGCGCACGGTGAAGCGACTCCCGATGAGCAGCAGGGGCCACTGGGCACCCTCCACTCCTTCGGCTCTGCTCCCTTCCAGGTCAGCGAGTAGAGGGGCGGGCGAGAACGGACCACAACAGCTAAATCGCTGCATACTACAATCCGCGGTTCTACGACTTCCCCTCCCCTCCCTCCCCTCCTGCCATCCCCCGCCCCTTCCTTTCTGGACTGTGCCTTGCCTCTCTGCGTGCCTGCTCCAGCTGATAATGCAAAGACTACTCCCCGTGCTCCTCCCTCTCCCGCTCCGATTCCCAATCCCACCCACCCACCTCTCTCTCTCTCCCTTACTTGTACGCAAGGAATAGAAAAACTGGAAAACTGTCGCAGGCCGCGGCGGGACAGGCGGGTGCGACCGCTCCGGACCCGCCCGGGCGCCTGCGGACCCAGGATAGGCAACACGCTGGCTCCCGTGTGCACCGGGTGGCCTAGGCGACCGACTGCAGGCGCTCCAGGTTACGCACCGGGACGGCCCGTGCGTCCGTGCGTGTATAATGCTCTGCAAGCCACAAACACTAGAAAAACGACTGCTCCTAAAAATGTTTACAGTTTTTCTGATAATCACCCCATGCATTGAAAGCTTATTGTGGTACGCGCCGTCGCCGTCTTCAAATTGTTGTCGGGTCCGTTTGTTGTTTTAGATTAGGCCTACAGTCTAAACCGAACCTTATAGAATGATCGAGTGGTTATGGGCATACTTTACCAACATCTCGGCGTTGTTTAAAAAGAATATACGGGAATTGAAGTAGAATAAATAATATTACTATTAATTGTTTAACGCCCCCCTAATTTTCTACGTACACACCTTCATCAGCTTCTGCTTTCACGGCCAGTTCTATGGAACCATGTTTTCTTTTTGCTGTTTTAGGAAGTAAAGATACCACGTTCTTTCCGCGCTTTTTTGTCAGTGCACCCCGCATTCAGGCTTCTATCAAAAGGCCACCCCCTCTCGGCCCCTCTCCACCCTGCTTTCTATCCCCTCTCGCTCAATTTATCGGTTTTATCGCGGGGGTCGGTCTGTTTCGTCGAGGGCCGGCTCCACGCCGAGGGCCCTCCAGGTGCTCCTCCCGGCGCACGGCGCCGCACAGCGGTCAAGACAATGGACTGGGGCCTTATGAAACTGTCTCTCAACCCTGTCTACCCCCCTCTCTATCGCGCACCACCATTTTGAATTTCCCCGCCACCGCCAACTAACCACGCCGATGAAAATGTTATACATACATATATATATTCCTCTCTCTCTCCCTCTCTTACAACTTTCCACTCTCGTTCATCATAAAGTAGTTGGCCGCTGAGTGGTCGGGCGTGTGTGTGCGCGCGCAGGCGTGTGTGTGTGTGTGAGTAATGATAAAATTCCTTACCGAGCGCGTTACGTTACGCCTCGTTAGTCACGGCTATGAGAAATTTCCGAGAAGGCGCGGTGGTGGCGGCGCGGCATTCCCGCCGCGACCCTCATCAGAGCAGGGGAGTGTTTCCGATGTGTTACAGGCTTCGGCGTAGAACTTAGAGATACGGAGGGAAGGGGAAGAACATATAAAGTTCCAATGAGTACAAGAGAAAGGGAGGAACGAAGAAAAGCCAACTCACTATTCACACTGATAAACTAAGTGTTCAACTGCTCAACATTTGAGAGTCTGCAACTGCAAGTTGAACACTTGCAAGTGTGCAACTCCGTATTCGTACACTTGCAAATGTACAACTTCTCGGTTCAAAACTTCCTGTGTAGGAAGTGCTCAACCAAGGAGTTGCACACTTGCAAGTGCACACTTACCGAGTTGCACACTTGCAAGTGCGCACTTACCGAGTTGCACACTTGCAAGTGCACACTTACCGAGTTGCACACTTGCAAGTATTCACCTTGCAGTTGCACACTTGCAAGTATTCACCTTGCAGTTGCACACTTGCAAGTATTCACCTTGCAGTTGCACACTTGCAAGTATTCACCTTGCAGTTGCACACTTGCAAGTATGCAACTTGCAAGTGTTGAGCAGTTGAACACTTAGTTTATCAATGCACTGACTCATTCACTAAATTACTGCCTCATTTACCGACCCATTCATTGACTCAATGACGCACACCCCCACTCACTCACTGATCACTCACTCGATGTGGTGCTGGGGGAACGCCATATGAGCTTCATACCGCGGATATGCAACGCAGTTGCCATTCCCAGTTCCCACCCACCCCCCACGGCGCCCGCAGCTATGCAGCCCGTACCCGTGCACGGGCTGCGGGCCGACCGCGCGGCATGGCTACCCTTACGGGTGGCGGCAAAATTAGAGCAGAGACCGAAAACATCAACGGGAGCAGGGGGGGGGGGCAAAGCATTCTACCTGCCCTCCCCCAGCACCGGGGTAGCCCCCACGCGCACACACACCGCGGACCGGGTCGGTCGGCCGGGCTGCAATGCCATACCCCGCCAGAAACTTCGCGAATAATTCGCGCCCGCACACCACCCCCGACCCCCCCTAATAATTTTGCGGGCGGGCGCTGCGCGGCGCGCACTGCCCTACAATGACCCAGTGTGCCACAGGACGGGCTGCTTCTCCTTTTGCAGCAGCCAGGCGGCGAGCCACCTTGACGGCACTCACAATGGGGAGGGGGAGGGGGGATACAGGATGCCACGGTCCACACCGCCGCCGCTGCCGCACCACCAGTCTCTCCTCCCAACCCCGCCGACCCCCTTCCCAAAGCACTGACTTTTGGCGGGAAAAGTTCGCAGCGCTGGGCCTCATTTCCCGAGCAAAACGGCCGTTGCGTCCGCTGCGGTGCCGGAGGCCGGCGTCGGCCACCCCTTCTCTCCCCCTCCATACCCGTGCCTCGGCAACCGCGCCAGAGGATGCTGCCCCCCCC